GCCGTCAGCCACTTTGCAGCCCTGTTGGACGCTCCAGCTGTTCAAACACGCCTGGAGGGGAGCCTCGCTGAGGGAGCTGCCAGCTGGCCCCGCACCAGCGAGATCTCACTGCTTCCCCTCACTCCCGTGCTGCCATATGTGACCAGCAGATGACGGATGGTCTCAAGTGAGTTAAGTTAACCTGACTTCCCAGATGGGAGAGGAGGCAGGTAAAGTGAGGGACCTCCAGAAGAGAATATAGTGCCTTTTCAAGGAAAAACAGGATTTGGGTTCCTCAGCTTCTGGCATGCCCACCTGGAGATCACCTTGGTGTATGCTCAACAGAGAGCACTGGGATCAAGACTTCTCTTGCTCTTGGATACTGCAGCTCTCCAGAGAGTCAGTGAAAAAAGAGGGACTGGCAGGAAGCCCTAAGTAGGGCTGGCTAGGAAGGTATACTGCATCCTGCTTTGCACTAATTCTCCGCTAACCCATGCTCATTTATAGGCAGGACCCAAAACCTTTTCATCCTTGCACAGATTCACGGCTGGATGAAAAAGGACGCCCACTCAACCATACCTTCTTCTGCCAATTAATCCTGTCTCACAATTCAGCTATGTTAAAACACATAAAATATAAAAATTACAAAAATTACATTTAACTCTTCCAGCAATTAGAATTTCTGACAAGTTCTAATTCCTTAATAAAAAGCTGATGTAGGCTATCTGGATCTGGATGGTGTCTCTGAAAAGCTCATTTTCTATTATGTACACCTTGCTGCTCATAAAGTGAGATACAGCAACCCACATTTGAATTTAATCTTGGAGAAATAGCAAACACCTCCCCCTCCCCATTTCCTTCCTCAGGGCACTGAAATGCAATGCCCAAGCAAAAGACTATTCTTTGGGTTTTACTCAATGGGATCTAGTACGTTCTGTTTTTCTGAATACTGTTGTAAGAATCCCAGTCATCCTAGTAGAAGATCACCACTGAGAAAGAATGGTGTAAAATACAGAGGTAAAACACTGCTCTAAGCTATAAAATACGTAGAGAGAGTGGAGAAATATTTCAATTAGAACAGGACAAACTGAAGTCAAACTGAAAGCTTTTGGAATGTTTGGAAGGAAAACCAAAAACTTACTAGAAGCAGAGCAAGATCATCATAACTTTTTTTTTTTTTTTTTTAAAAACAAATCATCAGGGAAGACCACCTGATACTATTACTATTCTTGAGCTAAAGTTCAGATACTTCCAGATTTTCTGCTCTGCTTTTTAAAGTCAGGTACTTTGCATAGAAATGCAGTGCAGGATAACAAAACCCCAGAGTTCACTACAAGATCACTCCATCCCTTCCACCTTCCTTTCTTGGAAGTCCACTTACCATTCTACCTATTTACTGTGACTAAGAACTTCAGCACTTACTGACTTTAACAGATTGCTGGGTTGTTGGTTGGACTGTTGATTGCTTTTTAATGGAAAAGAAAAAGATCTGACAAGTAATCACATTTTCCTGCTTTTATTTAGATCTCCTCCAGTTCATATTAGAAAGAATAAAAACGCAATGTTAAAGATCAGAATAAATATCTAGAATATTGCCAAGAATTTTTTAAAATGTATCTTCAGATATTCATAGCTTTCTACATCTCACATAACTTCTTAGTTCAAAATGCATCTGAGCATATTCCACTGTGTCTGTAAGTAAATTGTCAAACCCATGTATACAATACAGTAGGAAACTACCCAACAGTTGTGAATTATTTGCACACTCTAAGCACTAATTGAAATGTCACTGTGGTATCCATTAATCCCAAAGTGTCAAAGAATAAAGCTGGGGGAGGGTGATGAGCAAGAACATAAATCACAGGCATCACAGTGAGGCCTGGAATGTGCCTGTGATGGACCTTATGAATGAAACCACAACAGCAAAGCAGTCTGAGCAAAATCTTGTGTCGATCCCATATTCCACAGATTGTAAGGTGTCATTTGTTGCAACATACTATTCTGACAAGCTTCCATAATTATATTTAAACTACTCAAAGGGTTTCTGTGTAAACCCAAATTTTTTCTAGCATGCTTTAAAAGCTTTGCAGAAAGGAAGAATTAAAGTTTATTGTATTTGCATCTGTACAGCCCACGCTAGAAGTTACACAATGCTGGAAAGAATGCATTTTTCAGTCTTTAAGTTACTGGTTTTCTGAAACTTCCTCATCTTGGCCCAAGGTTTCTCATGCCCTGTCCATGCCATACGTTCAGTATAACGGCTACATATGACAAAACATGTTGTCTTAAGGTTATATTTTAATCTTAAAATAATGAAATGTTACCATGTTAGATTAAATAAAACTCTACTAAGATCTCTTCACTGACAGAAGTTTCCACCGTGCAGCAACCAAAGATGGTAGAAAGAGTCGTAATAGAAATTAGGATGGTACATAACAGGGCAAAGGCTGAGAAGAAAAAGGTCTGAAAACAACCCAGAGACAAGCCAACAGCTGGACTCGTTGGGACTTCTCATTCCTTTGCTGTGAACAAACTGTTCATATTGTGAAAGTCACCTGCAAGGCATGCATTTTATTCCCTGTATTGCCAGAAATCCCCCAGGTAAACAGTGAATTGGTTAATCTCTACAGAGTAGTGAAGTACTGCTTTGTTCACAGATGATATTTTAAATATTAGAAACAGAATAATAGGTAGCGGGCAAGCTTGTCTTCGCTGTCACACTATTTGTTCAGAAGGCAGATGACTGTGTAGTGGGTGCACCAATTCAGCTTGTCTAGATGAATGATTATGGTGTCAGTATTATGAATATTATGGAATTTCTGTTTTTATAACTGGGATCTTTTTTACATCTAGGAAAATACACAAATGCACATAGACATACCCCTACCCATCTACCTGAAAAGAACACTATTAAATTTGCAACATCAAGTGTACTAGAAGTAAAAAAAAAAGTCAAACCATGGTCTGTTTGGCCAACTTGTGCAATCACAAGGCAAACTTTAATGTCATGATCACAAATATTTTTTCAGTCTGACCCTCATAATCCAGTCAGTTCATTCCACGCACTGAAAGGCCTTAAGGCTGTATAATGAAGGACTGTCAGAAAGATGCCTGCTCTACCTGTTACAGAATTTAGCTGGAATGTAACAAATAAGGCAGGAGAAGTAAAGACAAGCGTATGGTTAAAATGACAAAAATGCCTCATAACTCTGTCCCTGGACTCCCACAAGAACCCTTTGCGATGCTGACCAAATTGCTTGAAATCAAATTTCCAGTTTCCCATAGGTGGCTGCTAATTGAGTAGTCATCAATTTTTTCACATGTCCAAACTAAAAACCTCAGGATACGACTTGCAGAACTGCCCCATTTTTACAGCTGTCATCAAAATCATTGAGATCCATGCTTCAAACACGTAAGAGGAAAGATACTTTGAAAAAACAGAGCATAAGAATCTAAAAATATTCATTGAAAAAACCACTAGCGAGCCTTATCACTTTCAACTGATGACTGAGATAGGTCTCAGTCCTAAAACCTATTCATAACACAACGATGTTATGCAAGTAACTTCCTTCATACAGATTAACAGCTCACCCTCAGCGGTGAGCTCCATGCAAAACACCAGGACATTAATCCTGCCTTCAGTGCTGGACTGAACCAGTTTTATAAAATAATTCTGATGCCATGTTTTGAACAGTGGGAATAAAAGAACAGCTGATGTTTACTAAATGAGTACTATTATTCTGCACAGTGAGTAAGGCAGCAGTAGTTCTAGGAGGGAGGAAACCCTATGTAACAGCACATTTAAAATTTGTATCATAATAAATAAACTCAAGAGGGAAAATTAAAATTTCACAGACATTTGACCTTTTTTCCCTCAACTATAAAAGCATAACATTTATATAGTGCTTTTGGGCAATTCTGTACTAGACTATAGTCTTTTTACTGGATACAGCGATTACGATCCCATTAGGAGTAACAACAGATGTACGTTTCAATCAGATACTTGAGTTAAAAAGAAAAAGTTTCATAAAATATTTCCCAGAAATGTTAACATACTTACTTGTAAATACTTTTACAAGAAGCTGTACTGTAATGATTTTTTTTTAAAAGACAAAGCTTTAGTAGGTTATAGAAAAAGATCACTATATGGCTTACATTAAAGAACTTTTTTGCAGTGTTAAGACAGATATAGATAGGAATTCTGGAACATCTACTTACATTCACACTGTATCACATCTAAATTAAACTGCTGAATTGCTCCCATGCTTATTTGCTTTAATTCATTGTCCAGTAGCATCTGCATTAGGGACGTTGAAAGATGCTGGCAGGCTGACATGCAAGCTGTCTGGGCCACTTTTCCCTAGTAGAAAGAGCAACAGGTTTTAAGATAGAAACAAATGATACGTCACTAAAGAACAGCTTGTCTGATTTGATTTTAATATACACTCGAAGTTTTAATGATGCAGGACTTAGATTAGAAGGAAAAAGATCACACTTGCTGTTATTTCTTTGACCTGTTAGCTTTGTTTCTATTAAATCAATCAGGCAACTAAATTAAATATATGTTAAAGCAATTACTGATATTTCTTCCAGAAATTCAACGGTCTTCACAAATACAAGGACATTTCCAAAATAATGACAATATAAGTTGCTGAAGCATATGAACAGCTTTGTGGATTTATTTATTTTAATTTTTTTTACCCAAACAGAATGAAAGCAAGAATGTAATGAAAATCAACATGCTGCATATTTTTTACAATAGTCCGTAAAAAGCCCCCAAACTTTATATAAACCAAAACCATTGCCTTCAGTTGGGGCATTTCTCATAACAGCTTGTGCTAATTATTGGCACTTTAATTGCTTGAATTCCATCTCAAAGCTTGTTGCTAAATTATTTAAAATATTCATGCTTATCCATCATCTTTTCAGGTGCTTAATAAATCAGTGCTGTCACTGATCAACTACTTACAAAATGAAATGTAGCCCTCTACTGTACAAAACAGAAATAATTTTCCAATCACAGTCTAATTAGTAACATTTCTCTTTACGATGTATATGTAATTAAGACAAATAATTTTCCAAACACAAGACCAAAAACAAAGCACAAAATCAGACATTAATTTGATAAATTATTAAAAATTTAGTACGGAAAAATTGAATGATGTGGAAATTCTACCTTAGAATTAAGAAAACCAATTAAGACCAGATACCTGATCAGATGGCACCATTCTATTCATAGCACCGCAATCTTTTAGAGCAGAGCGATCTTGGCCTTCAAACGCTATTACATGAATCTTTGTAGTTTAATGTACTTATTAAACCATGCTTTTCAACTGATGTCTATGTTACAATACGTACTGAAACAAAGATAACTATTAACATGCTTACATGAAAAAAATCGTAATTACGTAATACACCTACTGGAGCACACACCACTATCATTTTACTTATCTATCACTAAAGTGATGACACCTAGTCTCTAAAGCAATGGTTCCCCAGATGTTTTCTGCAAAGTCAGGTTGATCAATTCACTGTTGACTCACAGAAACACATATAAGCAATGAAAATGATAAGGATAGACAGCAGTTCACCGTCCCAAAAAGTTTGGAAAGTTCTGCTCCAACATCTGAAGAGCCAGATCTTGTCCTTATTAAGACAACTTGCTCATATTATTGAATTTTCATGTACATGTAACAGAAAGCAAATTTGGCCCTAAATATTTTATACTTTAAAAATCCATTCTTTGTCAAAATGTAATTAAAATGTAGACAATACAATGGAAAGCATTCACTCTCCTCACATGTCACACTGAAACATTAAATGGCTTTTGCTAATACCTCTTTAGCATTAGGACACCTTGAACTGTTAGGAGCTTTATATCTAAAATGAGATGTCAGTTTCTTAATTGAAAGTCTCAGAAAAGCAAATAACATTTTTGACCAAAATAGATGAACTGACAACGAGGAATGTAAGAAACAATGCAAGAACAGCATGCTTAAAGTCTCCCAAACCCAATGGTAATTACACTGGGAGACATGCAGCTCTATTCCCCAAGCAGAACAATATAAATATGAAGGGGGGGGGGGGGAAAGGGGAAAAAAGGGGAAAAAAGAAGGAAAAAAGGAGATGAGAAGGGGAATCAATGGGCCACAGTTCATTTAATTACAGTGTTTGAAATACTTGATGGAAATGTCATTTTGATTTAATGGAACAACTAGTGCATCTCTGTTTAATGTACTGCTCCATCAAATCAGCTCCATGTCCTATTTATGCTGCCACTATAATGTAATAAAAGTTCAACCAGATTAATAGGTTGTCAAGAAAAATGTTAACATTCAATTTATTTTATATGCAAACAATGTGTACTCCTCTATTATTTTAAATAAAAGACAGAATTTTATATTTCTAACAAGCATCTGTAGTTAAGTGTTACAATCTGGCAAATATCAATAGTACTGGAGCACAAGATAATGGTTACAATACAGAAATGACATGGTAAAAGCCACTTGGACTTTAAATAAGTATCAATACGTGTACATTTAATGTTTATTTTAAAATTTCATAAAATGGAAACATCCTAACATTTAAACTATTTCCAACTATGTAACTTGAACTACAGGCTTATTGTTCACATGACATACCAACGAATAATAGAATTTTACTATACACAGTTTATACCTACTCAATACAATCACTCGATTTTCTTAAATCTAGAGAAAAAATGAAGCTACCTATATCAATCAAAATGCTGAATTTTAATGGAGAGAAATGTGAACTTTACTGTTATCCTCTTCAGAATTCAGTGCTTCCCAGTTTAAAACACACTGGATGTACGATATTCAGAAAAGAATGAAATTTAAATTCCTGTTTGATAAATGAGGTCTAAAAATCTCTCTCCAAATTTCCACCACCCACCAATTAATCAATTCCTTGCCATTTTTTCATAATGCATTTTGAAGAGGAAATTTAAGGATTCATGAACATAACAGTAACATGTTTCTTTTCCAGAATTAAACAAATCTTGGTTAGTTTTAAAACATTCTTAATGTTTATTATTTGTCAGTTTGGGTTTTTTTAATTACTTTTTTTTTTAAGGGGGGGTGGCCGTGGTTACTGTATCCAGCAATTAAATACCTATATTCAATAGCATGCAGATATTCAGCAGGCTTCTCACATTTGCTCCAGTTGCCTCCCATTTGGAGACACCACTATTATCTCCGCTGTGCCTATGCTAATTGCTGCTATCTACAAAACCTATTCTTCCACTCAACCAATGTAAAGTTTAAGAAACAAGGACCCTATTCTACAAGCAAAAACACCTGCTAACAGTGTTAAAGGCAACTGTTTTTTCACCCAGCCCTCACATTTTGCTGAAATACAAGTTTGTAAAAAGAGAAAACCCTTAGACAAACTTCTTATATTTCAAAGAAGCCTGTAAAGAGAATCTGCTGACATATTAAATCCTTTTTATAGGACCCAAAAGCTTTTCTCTTAAGAACAATTGCGGTAAAGAGACATTTGGCTCCTAGGAAGTTCCCAAAGGGTCAGCCATATGCATCCTTCCACAGCACCTCCGCAGTACTGCTAAGACCCTTGCTAGTTGTCTCAAAAGCAGCTTTCATCATTCACTATGGTGTCAGTCAATATGATTTATGGACTGCATTCAGCAAAGTCAAAGCATATAGAATGAGAAATATGACTACAATCTGCTAATTTGTTTTGTATTGAGCCACTTAGGAGTCAAAGACCTGAAGTCAGGCTGAGACCAGCAACACAATTAACCGGCCAGTGACAGATTCATCCATCCTCCCTGCCAGGCTGTGCCAATCAAAGACAGCATGAAGCGGCATTTGGAGAAATCGGTAAGAAAACCCATTCTCTAAGTAGCCTGTGGAGGCTGTTGATTGACAGTTTTTGAATATAGCTGCAGAAAACCACCACCCCTTCACCCTCACTGCAAGCTGTGAAATTAGGCTTTTGCTGCCAATCACAGAAACAATAAAATAACACAAACTGCCATCCTCAGCATAAAAGGAAATAACAAAACTTATCTGTTGAATCTAAGAAGTTAAGATGAATAATTAATTTAACAATATGAAATGACATAATGAAAAACTTTCTGAAAATGCAAAGAAACTAAACATACAGATTTTATCAGTCATAACAACTAAAGCATTATATTACTTAACATCAGGACTAAAATCCAACTTTTGAACTATTGATAAAATACAAGTACTAAAAAACACTAATGGAATTTTTAAGAATCAATTTTACTTCCAGTCTCTGCCACGAATTCTACTGAAATAATAAAAAAATACCTACTTTAAAGTAATTTGTGACTGTTACTTTTCAATAGTCATTCTTTTCCAAAGAGTTGTCCAATACTAACTTTGTACTGACAAAGCACATACCTAGAATAAAACTTCAGCTAATTCTAAACTTAGACTAAAACCACTTATATATACACCATCTATAATTTCATATTAACTGATCTGAAAATAAAAGGTATGAGTTTTCTTTAACTGTTCAAAATAAAATTAAAAAATGCAGGTCTTTAATAACAAATTTGATCATCCAATTGATTTCATGAGATTAATGGCTGCATAATGAAACTTTAATTTGCTTTTTGATTCGAAGTATCTAATGGCACTATAAACTGCAATATGAACTTAAAATGGGATGTAAAAGAACCCGAAAACAGCAATAATCTCAAAAGACTAAATTCTTGTGACTTTAGAAAACAGAACCATTAAAAACTGCATGACTCTCAAATTATAACCTTTCAAAAGCAATGCAGCCTCTGTGCTCTGCATCTCTGAAATTCTGCTAGTGCTTGGTCATGACATAACCAGCACACTGACACCTATTCAACATTAACAGAAAATATGTCTACACAAAATATTCAATATTGCTAGTGCCCATGACACCTATTAGCTTGACAGTTCAACATGAGGCTGAGTATTCAAATCATAGAAATGTCCATTGGAATGAACCACCAATGTCATCTAGTCTAGCCTCCTACTTGGAGTAGGACTATTGCCAACACCAGTTCAGGTCCATTGTCCTTTTTTCTGGCTGAGCCTTCAAAACAACCGACGATGGGAATTCAACAGCCTGTCTGCGTAACCTCCTCCAACACCGCACTACTCTCTTCAGGCAAACTTTTTCCCTAATGTCAAAGCTTCATCTCCCAAGCTTCTACTTGTGACCATAGCCACATGTGAATTTGTCAGTCCTACCAAAAAGAGTTTGGCTCCATCACCTTTGTACCTGTCCTTCAAGAGGCTGTAGGCTACCACCAGATCTCTCCCCAGCCTTCTCTTTAACTGACTAAATAATCCACCTCCCTAAACCTCCATTTGTTAGTCATGTGCTCTAGGCTCCTAACAACTTGTAAGCCCACTGCCAGATCCTCTCTCCAGAACCACAAAGCTACTATTCAGCCAATTGCTTTCCAGATTGTAGCAATGAACGGGGTTATTCCCATACTGTGTACTTTAAGTGCCTTACACACTTGTTCGCTTCAACAGTAAATAGCACTGTGTACATTTGTTGCTGTACACTGCTTAAGTGAACAAGATTCAACCACATTATTAGAGAAAATCAGTAAAAGTAAGTTCAGAAATTCAGTATTCAGAGGCCACTTTTAACAGAATAATATTAATTTCAACACTTTCATTACCATGGAAATGCTTATGCCAAATCAAAATAAACTCCTTATACAAAAATTGATGACCTGAAAATAATCAGGGCTTGAAAGAATCCTTAAATGCAACCCATCATCTTCTTAAAAATAAAAAAAAAATTTAAAAATTGAGTACATACATTCCCTTGACCCCAGGCAGATGTAGCAGAGAGACAATGGCACTTTCACTCATTCTTTATTCTGTTATACCACTCTATCCTTATTCTGTATGCATGTCTCATAGCTGCATTTTGATACCTGACCTCTCTTCCAAAAGGTCTCATAGCTTCCTCTAAATTATCTCATTTAGGATGCAAGGCACACCCCACCAACCTTCTGCAAGGTTTTTAGGGCTCCTGCTGGCCCAGTGTACGAAAGCCCAATGTTAGTCATTAACCTGATCCCTGCATGCAAGGTACACAGCATGTCATCAGCAAAACAGAAGGGTTTTTTTATTAAATGATTAAAAATTGAAGCAATAAGCCTGCAGGCAGTTCATAGTTTTTCAGTTCACATGCTTTTTCTTCATCTTGCATCTACTTACCGACATAGCTGCATGGTCATTGTTGTTATTCTGAGAAGGAAACCAGTAAGGCAATCAAAACAAAAAAATTAAGATGTACTGTCAACATCAAAAAAAAAAAAAAAAGAATAAAAAATCGGTAGCAATAAAAGGTAAGGAAAAGTTTCCAAAAAGAACAATTACAGCTACATAATTCCTTGAACTATTTTTTTCTAAACCTGTGAGCTTATATTGTGAGGCATAACAATGAGATTATAATTTAAATAATACTAATTTGGCAATAAAATGTTTTTCTGTAATAAGGAACTGTATACCAAAATATCAAAGTAGCAAACTTCAAATGACAAAGCATCTGTTGATATGCCTTTCCAGAAAGTTTTCATTACAAGAAATAATATATTCCAAAATACTTAGGTTGAAAAATAAATGCCATGTTTACCATCTTGGCTTACAGAGGCTATCTGTATGTCATTAACATATTTTGTTAAAGCAAGACTTAGAATGGCTCAGGACAGTAAGAATCTAAATGTAACACGACCCATTAATAAATTTTAACATAAATCTAATGGTAATATAACTGCAGGGTGGAATAAAGCTATTTTCTTTTCCAAAACTGCTTCTTAAGTACAGTAAACAAACACAGAGGAGAAAACTAAGATGTAAAACTTAAGAGGGGAAAAAAAAAAGCTTCAGAGACGCAAGACATTTCCAGTAATTCAATAGAGATACCAGACCCCAACTAAGTTATGCCACGAAGTGTGCAGGTTTGGTAAAATTGAGATCGTGGTCTACCTGATTTACATCTCTAATGTTTCAATAAAAATAATACAAATTGCATAAAACAGAATGTAACATAAGATGTATTTTTTAAAAGTTATGTCTGCATTGGTACAGACATAATTCAGTATAGCCCCATATGGAAGCACAAAAGGAGACACATCCCTGTGCATTTACACAGCTTACACATACAGCTAAAATAAAACAAGATTCTAATGACAGGAACTCAATGACTGCAACAAAAAGTTGTTAAAGAACACAAAATAACACTTCTACAGGAAGAGTAGAGTTTGAAACAATATCACAGAGAAAGTCAGTGACCCTTGCACAAGACTACAGAGAACTATAGTGTGGCCAGCTAGTGCCCCTAGCCCTAGCACAATGCCCTCTAACATAATCGCATACGCTAAGGTAGGAAGAGAAGAGATTCCTCTACTTGTCCTGCTCTTTTCCTTACTAGAATTAGGGCCATTGGCTAGGACTTTCGTTCTTTGATTTCTAATTTCAGAAAAGGTTCTAAGAAACTATTTTGAGCAGTGGAATGTTTCTGCCAGCCATACAAAAATTATTATGGAAATGACACTGTGACATTAACAGAATAATCCATTAACGAAAATGAATACTAAAACTATTCCAAATCTTAACTATGGCATATGAGAATCTAGCTTAGTTTAGCACTCCAAAACACTTACTATTTTAATGAGTTATGGAACTCAGCTCTGGTCTTATCTTTGAAAATGCTTTTACTATAAATTTTGTCTTAATGAAAATGACTTACTATTACAAACCTAACCAGAATCACCATAATGAAACCGCATACACATTTTCATATAACCTCCACAGCTCATGCACAACAACATTCATAGGATTGTATGTTTCTACAGTTCTGGCCAAGCCAGTATAGGGAGTGTCAGGGTAAGTCAAAAATTACAAGAACCCTCTTGCCAGACCAGACTAGTCATCCACACAGTTCTACATCCTGCCTGTTACTGACCAGAGTTTGAAATTACCAAATAACCTCTTCATATGAACTAGTTTTCTCCAAAGGTTGACTTGTGCCCCCAGGCACATATTTCTGTTCCTTTCACACTTTTCACGTCCTAATGCCACAGCTTCTTTCCATCCCTCTTAACACATTACTTCATTCTGTCTGCGGCTCATTTCCAAACAGCTGTATCACAACATACATTCATGACAGACTTCTGTACATCCTTCTCTAGAAGTTGCGCATCCCTTAACTGCTATATGTGTATGATCATTGAGGAGCAGTGCCATTTGTTCACACTGCTTTGTATGTTAAGTTACAATGCATTTAACTATCTAACTTGCTATTTATCAAAAACGTTCAACTGATTCGGCACAGAAGCACATGCCTCATACCGTCACATTCACATCAATATTATGTGATACATTTTGATTGGGTTATGTCATTGAGTCAGTAAAAAAAGGACTGAAAAATCACAGCCTCTTCACATGTGATTTGGAAGACCAGATAAGCCCACTATATGCCAGCAACTTCAACACCTTGCTGTGCACGTAAAGAAATTATCTTTTACTTCCAGACTGGAGCCTCAAAACATTCTATGCATTGAGGACTTATTCTTTATAGGCATTGCATGTGGGTAAAGCACTCAGACATCAGTGTGACAGTAGCAACCAAGGACAAGCTGATGAAAAGCAGATGTAGCTTGAAAGACTTATTGAAGTTAGTACTATTGAAGCCCTATAAACTATTATGATGATACATCAAACTAGAAATAGTCTTTTTTGTCTTAAAGCAAGGGGAGATCAGACAACAGAATATAACAATTAGTACATAAAACAGGTTAACAGTACCCTTTTATCCGGGACAAAATAACACAGGATATATTTGAATATGAACAAGGATTCATTTCAGTGAAGCTCAGTTAACTAGAATCAAACTACTTGTTATGATCAGAACTATTTAGCTAAAAACAACCTTGGAGAATCCAAGACCTCCATAATCTTATGTACAAATGCAGGATTTGCACCAATTCGGCACTGTTTGAATCAATGCACGTGTACACAGAACCAATATGGTTAATTAAAAAGGCCATCTGATGCTCTAGAAAACTGCATGAGTTTTTACGCTATTTGTAAATTAGCTGTTGTTAACAATATTATTCAAGTATTTGAAAGTATTTTCTAAGTATTACCATGGGTAAGCATCATCAACATACTGAAAACCATCTGAAAATACATCTGTACTGAAAAAAATAAAAAAATACATCTGCCAGCATGTGCACAATTCAAAAATCACATCTATCTTCAAAATCTATTTTAAAATAAGATAATGCTCCAATAGTTTGAAATTAAACTTAATTTTGAACACTTACAGGTAAATGAGTAAAAACTTGAAACGTGCTTCTTAAAAAGTTAATAAGGTCCATTAAGTATCCACTGGCTCTTCCATCCGATTCAGACATTGTCCAATCATAATCAGCAATCTGAATAAATTCATCTATTTTTTGGTTAAGTTTTGTGTATATTTCTCCTTCTGCAGCATGCCTTGCATCCTGAAAAAAAAAATGTGTGCAATTGTCAGAATTCTAAAGTATTATTAGAATGTAGATAAAATTATACTCATCAGCAAAACTGAAGTCTTGTGTTTTTCTTAGATTCAAAAAATATTTTATTTAAATCAATACTTTAACTTCTCTCTTACAATAAATCTGAGGCTGTGGTTTTTAAAATACTCCCATAATGTATACTATGAGTGTTTATAACAGAATATGCCTAGAAATAATCTAAGTTCTCAGAGACAAATGAAATTAATTTGAATTTGTAAACAAAGCAATGGCTTTACTCTCTTCAAAACAATCACCTTTAATTCAGCCTTACAAATTTATCAATCCTGACACAAGGTTTATTTGCCTTCTTTTACAAAGAAAATAATAAAAGAAACTAATTATTTTATCTGTTATGGCTAGAGGTCCAGCAATCATATGATTTTTATGTAATTAATGTCTTAAAGCTGCACATCTGAAGAATACTCATGATTTTTCATCCTCCTTTAAATATCCTGATCATCACACACCGTGATGAGCACTCCCCTACTTCCTCCCACCCCTACTTTTTGTTCTGCCACCACCCGGATTCCACCTTTTGGAACAGGAAAGAGGTAAAGTCTAACATTTACTGTGAAGTGAGTTTATGATGCTATCGATCTGCCTTATTTGTTTAGGGGACATCCTCATAGATGCAATGGGATCTACATACAGATGCTTGATAAGGTGTATCTTGCTGGAAAGGCATGCTTTTGCCAGCATTTTACAGACGCTCGATAAATTCTACGTTCTAATTTGGGCTCAACATGAAACTTTCTTCACTGATCTTGAGAAATAATTCAAGTAAGACATTTGATTTAAAGTGAACTGGTCAGTTGCTGAAGGTTTTTAGAGAGTAAAAATAGGCTGGATATACTGGAACAACATAAAAGTGGACAAAATTCCCATTGCTAGTGTCCTCTGGGAGAAAGCAATCCAAAAACATGGCACTTCAGAAAGGTGTAAATAAGAAAGGCAAAAAGAAAAAAGAAAAAAAATCAAAATGACCTAAGCTTAAACATGTCATCACATTGAGCGTGTCAAATTCAGTCTTCAGTCAGGCCCCAGGCCGTGAGGCACTTCAGGAAGAAGCAAGAAAACATGTGGCCCTGCCATGTATAAATATCGAAGTACGGTTCCCTAAAAATAGCATTTTTATTGCCAAACCAACCAGTAAAAGCCTCCACTGAACAGCTCTCCCAATCCAACACACAAGAATCTGGCAATCTGTTAACATGTCAAATAAAGGAATAGGCTGACATCCACAATTTTGTAGATGGCTATGACTGTAAGAGCTTCAATTAAAGACCATCTATATTTAAAGTTTCTAACTAACAATGAGACCTCAGTTTCAACAATCTATAATGACAGGACTTGCGAATATATCTGCTTAGGTTTAGTGCAATTGCTTGGATTTTTTGTTTGGTTGTTTGGTGGTTTGTTTTTTTTAAAAATGAAGTAATTTATGGAGTGATTGTATCATCTTTACCAGTTAAGATGATTTACTGGCAATGGTAAGACTAGTCCTTCAGTTTTTGTTTTGGAAGCCTGTTTTTGGCTACCTTCTATTTTTCTTTGGTTATTGCTTTACAATTGGAGCAGCGTGCTGCCAGTACTTTAAGCAGGAGTGTTGCTCTATTCCCTGAGAAAACTGTGAACAGCTAAGCAATTGGATTTCAAACCCAGAAGTTACTTCTGAGAAGCAGCACTGTGAATCCCATGCACAAGTCAAGAAAGAGCGAGTTAGCAGTATTCAGATTTGGGATAATTCCTAGAGGCAGATGAATTAACTCCATCTCTTCTTTTAATGTGGTGACAGAATTGCATCAAAACCTTTTGAAAGCTCACCAGATTTTCCGCCATTATAAAGTGAAAAGGGCAAATGATGTGGTTTTGTTAAATGGCTTTTCTCTCTGAGGATGTCCTGAAGCCCTGCACAGGATTTGATGCTGAGTATCTGGCTCTCCAACAGCCATTACACAGCTTAATGCTGAGACCCTGGGCTCAAAAACTGCTATCAACTAGATCTGCAAATACATCTACTTATGCTTAGTGCGACTGCTGATTTAAACAAAGGAAAACAATGGTCAACCAAAGCTGGAAAACGTGGCTATAAATTTTGAACGCGAAACAATTTTTTAGTATGATAAAATGAAACAAGTTTTGTTGGTTTTTTTTGTTAAATTTCCACCCATGTGAAACAATGCTTGGAGAGTTTGAAGGACATCTTAAAATGAGGTCTTATATACAAGAATAAAATGAGAAAAACAGCCCTCTAAAATAATAGCCATTAAATACATTTGAAGGCTTCTATTAAAAAAATACAGTGTAGATGTACTTATAAGATCATCTCACGGAATGTAAATGTGATCAATGATGCTAATAAAAGGAGACTTTTTGACCACTTAGAAAGAACGGAGGTGACATGATTTGCCACCAGGAGATGAATTTAATAACAGTAGAACATACCAAACTCTGTGAGGGCCCAGTTGGGGAACTGCAAGCAGGTTTTCATTAAAATAGAGAGGGAAAAAAAAAGGGATTAACGAGAAAAGAATTTTCTACTGTAAGTGGAGAACGTTGTGCTAACAAGTTCTCCAGGGAAACAGACAGGAGAGAAACCATAAAAAAAAATTCTTACGTGTCTATCAGCATTCATTCTGTATTTTTCCAAAGCACTTAGATGCTAAGCTCACTAAACACAGATATAATATTGTGATTCTCTCCAATAGCACTTAGATAGTTTATAGGATAGTTAAAAATAACTTACAGCATAAGCAATCAGCACAAAATATAACACAAACTTTCAACTGCATTTATTAAATTACATTCAAGGATAAAGAACATCTTACCTCTTAATGAAATCAAAGACTATGGCTGCATTAAGTGTTTTGTTTGAATGTTAAAAAGATTATGGATTGACCTTACATGAAAATATCTATACATAACATATGCAAATTCAAAGACACACATGCACTACCAGTACACAACAAGCAAACTAGGCAGCCTAGATCTTAAGGACAGGGCAAAATTAATAAAACTACTGGTAGGGCAATGATAACCTAACTACAGTTGCTAGGCCAGAACCTTTCTGTCTTGCCTTATCCATGAAATCCGTAGCAAAACAAATGACAGTTAATGGAAAAATTGTTGGCAATCAACTGGAAATATGAAGTGTCTTGCAACGAGGATGTCTTATTCCACCTCACCCACCTTTAACATCTATGCCAGAAGGGATATTACAATAGGATAGGCTACATATTGCATCAAGAGAAAAAATGAAGTACAGTAAACAGAACTACTCTCAATAGGATTAGTCCTCTTTATCCCATAAATACAAGAAATCACCCTCCTTTGTTTCAGTGTACACTGAAAACACCCCAAATACCTAAAGTTCAAGTTGCAGCTGCTTTGGAATCCCTGATGACTTTTTGTTTTGTTTCGCTTCAAAAAATTTCTGTATAGAAGCCCCAAGTGACTAAGGCGGCAATGCACTGGCTGAATTAATGGCACAAGGTCACCTATACAAGATTATTCTTCTGTGAGAATGTTTTCTTCAGAAAGTGTAGTGGGTTTGCGTGGCAATGTTTTGGTAGCCGGGGGCTACAGGGGTGGCTTCTGTGAGAAGCTGCCCCTATGTCCGATAGAGCCAATGCCAGCCGGCTCCAAGACGGACCCGCTGCTGGCCAAGGCTGAGCCCATGACGTGACATGACGGCAGTAGCATCTCTGTGATAACATATTTAAGAAGGGGAAAAAAGTTGCGGGGCAACAGCAATTGCAGCTGGAGAGAGGAGTGGGAATATGTGAGAGAAACAACTCTGCAGACACTAAGGTCAATGAAGAAGGAAGGGGGGAGGTCCTCCAGGCACCAGAGCAGAGACTCCCCTGCAGCCCCTGGTGAAGACCATGGTGAGGCAGGCTGTCCCCCTCAGCCCATGGAGGTTAACGGTGGAGCAGAGATCCACCTGCAGCCCATGGAGGACCGCACGCCAGAGCAGGTGGATGCACCTGAAGGAGGCTGTGATCCTATGGGAAGCTCGCACTGGAGGAGGCCTCTCGC